GGTTTGAACTGGTGTGAACTGGTTTGAACTGGGATGAACTGGTTTGAGCTGGTTTGAACCGGTTTGAACTGTTTTGAACCGGTTTGAACTGGGATGAAGCAGTTTGAACTGGTTTGAACTGGGATGAACTGGTTTGAACCAGTTTGAACTGGTTTGAACCGGCTTGAACTGGTTTGAACTGGGATGAACTGGTTTGAAATGGTTTGAACTGGTTTGAACTGGGATGAACTGGTTTGAACTGGTTTGAAATGGTTTGAACTGGGATGAACTGGTTTGAACTGGTTTGAAGCAGTTTGAAGCAGTTTGAACTGCGATGAACTGGGATGAAGCAGTTTGAACTGGTTTGAACTGGGATGGAACTGGGGGGAACTGGTTTGAACTGGTTTGGGCTGAGAGCGCCCCCTGCTGGTTTCCCTTGGTACCAACGGGGGTGGGGCCACAACAGAGACCAAGGGGACAGCTGGGGACATTTGGGGACATTTTGGGGACATTTTGGGGACATTTGGGGACATTTTGTGACATTTTGGGATGTTTTGGGGACATTTTGTGACATTTGGGGTCATTTTGGGGACATTTGGGGCCATTTGGGGACATTCTGGGGACATTTTGTGACATTTTGTGGCCATCGCTGCCTCTCTTTGAACCCTTTATTAAACACCACCTCAGGCCACGCCCCCTTTCCCCTCACAGCCAATCAGAAGCTCTGGATCCCTGCAGGGGGCGGGGCCTCTCTACCCCTCCTGCTGGGTGGGTGTGGCCTCGGTGGTGGGCGTGGCCTGCAGGGCGGAAGTGGCGTCCCTCCAGCGCTGCAGCCAATGGGAGAAGGGGGCGTGGCCGGGGGGCGTGGCCAGGGCCCACTGAGCCGGCTGGGCCCACCTGGGGGGAGGGGCGGGGTTACAGAAGGGGCATGGCTTGCGCGGGAGCCCCAGCCCCCCTTTAGCCCCGCCCCTCGCTCACCATTGGCTGAGGATCCCCTGGAGGCGGGGCCAGCTCCTGATTCGCTGCTGGCAACCGGCGCTGACCAATCGCAGCCGGGGGAGGAGCTCGGCCGGGCTGTCGGGAGGGGGCGGGGCCTGCTCTGGCTCCGCCCCCCGCTGT